GGATTTGGTTTCAGTTTTTGACTTCGTAATGAGGTCATCACGGAGTCCTGATGTGGTGCTGTAGGATAAGCACTGGACTGCTAACCACAAAGTTGGTGGTTCCAACTTATCAGACGCTCTTCTGAAACCCAATACAGGGCTCTGTGAGTGGGAACCACCTCGGTTGTACTTAACAATAGCAATGAGGTGGTTGTACTTAACAACAGACCACTGAAGACTTAGATCCACATCCAACAGGCCAAGTGACAAAATTCACCAGTGTGAATGAAGGACCTGGTGCCTCAGCCAGGGCCTGGTACTGACTCCCACAGGGAAGTGTGTTCTAAAAGATGGGTTTTATGTCCTGCCTTGGACAGGATCCATAGACAGATTGTGCCAATGTCTTCTATTTCCTTTAAAATGTTTCCTCATAGTCAGTATGATAGAATGCATGTTTATTTGGCTGGCACAAAGGATAAGTAAGCCCTGGACTACTAACTCCAAGATTGACAGTTCAAAACCACCAGCCACTCCTCAGAAACCCTAGGCAGGGTCACTATGAATTGGAACCGACTTGATGACACTTAACAACAACAGTATCCCAGATGTGGTCAGTTATCAATAAAGAGTTCACACCTAGGGCTGGTCCACTAGATTCCAATCAGCAAGTCCACACTCCCGAAGTGGCCACCTTGCTCAACAACAGAACTTTGCTAATTAACATAACCAATGTTAGAAATGGGATCTTACTAGCAACAATCGTGGCATTTCAAATATGTGGATTGACTAGAATATTCTGGAGACACTTCCACGCTTGCATGGAATATCCAAGAATCTAGAGAGGTTAAAAGCCTGAAATCCTACTGTGGTACTATAAGATCAGAGCTGGACTGCGAACCATAAGTTCAGCAATTCAAAGCCACCAGCTGCTCCTCAGAAAATCTTTTAAGTTGGAACCGATTTGACAGCATTTACCAGCATCCTTGGAGATGGGTATTATTTTGGCTGGGTTCCCTCAGAAGTAGACCCTGAGAAGAGCCGAGTGTTTGTCATTTATTTGGGAGGTGCAGGGAACTGACAAGAGGGTGAGAAGGTGATGTAAGGAAGGGTGCCATCAAGGGGTGTGTGATTAAGCCAGCTACCATTGTGGATGACTAAAGCTTACCAGTTATTGGTTAATTCCTGGGCACTTCTGGCCAGCCATGGTGGGAGCTACATGGGTTCCAGCATCCACAAGTCAACTTTGAATTAAGATGTAGGAGCTGACTGTTGGAAGTCCAGCTGGCACACACAGTAATGGTAAGGGGATGTGGGCAGAGTGCCAATAGTATCTGCTACAGCTTCCTATCCTAAGTCCCCCTGTGGTCTTGTGTTTAGTTATAAATTTGGAGGATTCTGTTTCCTAAAACTGACTAAATAAGAGTAACAGAATCCTGCATGAAGAATACTGTTGTTGTTGTTAAGTGGTGTCGAGTTGATTCCGACCCACAGCGATCCTGTATAGGGTTTCCAAGGAGCGACTGTTAAGTTTGAACCTTGCAGTTCAAACTAAGTTTGCAGCCCAGTGCAATAATGGTGGTGAAAACCAGTTGCTGGAGAGTGGATTCCAACTTCATGTTGACTCCGTGTTTTGAAGCAGATTGCCAGAACGTTCTTTCCAGTTGTCTATGGGTGGGTTCAAACCACCAAACTTTTGGTTAGTGGTGGTTGTGGTTAAGTGCCGTGGAGTTGGTTCTGACTCATAGAGACCCTGTACAGGGTTTCCAAGGCTGTAAATCTTTATATCTTTCTCCCGTGGAACAGCTGGTGGTTTTGAACTGCTGACCTTGAGGTTAATAGTTGAGCCTAATCATTGGTACCACCCAAGAACTTCTGGTTCCTAGTGATGAAAGAGCTTAAAACAAGTAAGAGCTGAGGCTTTATTGAACCTATAAAACAGATGGATTTGGTTTGTAACTTTTTACAGACTTTTTTGTTATATGTGCTTGCTAATACCTTTTTGTTAATGAATATGTGCATGTGTGCAGAATTAGTTGTGAGGTGCCTCCTTCACATTTTTTGATGGTTTTAGCCATCAGCCCCCCAAACCTAAAAGCAGCCTTGACCAAATGACTCAATTCATTTGCAGCACAGGGTGCTGCAGGTAGGAACCCTTCCCCCACATTTAGGAGAAACCCCAGGCACTCTGCTCTCACTCACCTGCACGGTGTAGCTTCCTAGCGTGGTGGCCCGTTTAAAGCGCCGGCCTTGTTGCTGGGACATCATGAAGAGCTGAGCCAGGCGCTGCTCCATGACCCGGGCGAAGCTCAGGTTGTGCAGGCCCACCAGCGAGTTGTCCACACCCTGCAGAACTGTGGAGGGGGAAGGCAGAGGGATGCTGAGAGGCAGATCAGGAACCATAACCACCCACGTGTCCTGCCCCAGGCTAAGATTTGGTTATCCTTACCTCATTTTACCTTTCCAACAAGTTCAGGAAGAAGAATCACTATTGATTTGTTATAGATGCAGTACCAGCCAGTACCAGAATCAGAGTTCAAGGCCAAGTCTGTGTATCTCTGAAGCCTGGGCTCTCTCTCTCTCTTTATGAGCTATGACATCCCTAATACTGCTTTATTCAACACACATTTTATATTCCAGAGAATGTATGTTGTTAAAGGCCCATATGGAATAGAGCATGGCTGCAGGTGTGGCTAAGTGAATTTCTGTAGGTTCCCACTCATTGATCCACTTGGATCAAGGCTGTTGTTGTTCTATTTTTCCTCCTCTACAGTTTGGCCAAGGAATTTAGAACCCTGACATGGGTTTAAAATGAGTCATCCCAGAAGCAGGAGCGGAAGGTGATTTTCAGTATCATCAAGGAAGAACCAGGAGTGGAGCACATCTTTGAGACTCTGAAATCCCTGTGCATTGAACCTCCTCACCCAGGGACAGAAAGCTATGACACTGGAGGAGTGGCAGAGAAGCAGCTGTAACATTGCAGAAGCAGCAAATAGGCCAGGTCAACAGGCTGAGGGACAGCAGAGGACAGGCTGTCCTGCCGGGAATTGGAACGGTTCCCTGTACATTTCTGACCTTGGACTGGAAACTATTAACTTCCCTAATAAACCCCATAACTGTGAGTGTTGTCTCTGAGTTCTGCATGGCCATGGTAATGAGTCATCAAACCCAGATGTGAAGCAGTGAGTCCTCTGGGAGGGATATTTGGTGCCATTGTCTTGTGCAGACCTTCAAACTTGAACAGACCACCCTACTAGTGTCTTCACCCCTTCCTCCTCTGTGGGGTCCTTTTGGTGCCCACCCCCAAAGGTGCCCAGAGCCCCCTCAGGCAGAAGCACAACAGCTTCTTGGAAAAACTAGATTCTTTCTTAGTTTTATCCCTTAACAGTTGTGGACCCATTGGCGCTCTATGAGTTCAAGTTCTTTTCTGTAGAAAGGAAGTAAGAAAGTCTACATCACAGAGAACAGTTTCCTACTGGGCTTTAAGGTTTGAAAGAGACAGGTTGTATTCAGAACTTTAGCATAGCCCCTGGTGCAGGGATTAATGGAGTTTCTTCCTTCCCCACCCTTTCTCATCCCACTCACACCCTGTAAAATCAGCTGCTGCGCTTCATCTATACCTGGGGGTACTTGCAGTCAACAGACAAGGCATTAGCAATGGAATTATATGCAATGGCTTGTGCATGTACCAGTAACCAGCTGCAGTGGATTCCAAGTCATGGTGACCCATTTGTGTCAGAGTAATGCTATGCGTCATAGGGTTTTCATTGGCTAATGAATAAGGAAGAGTGAAGAAGAATTGAAGCCTTTGAATTATGATGTTGGTGAAGAATAATGAATATAGTATGGACTGCAAGAAAAATGAACCAATCTATCTTGGAAGAAATACAGCCAAAATGTTCCTTAGAAGCAAAAATGGTGTGACTTCATCTCATATTACTTTGGGCATGTTCTTAGGAAGGATCAGTCCCTGTAGAAAGACATCATGCTTGGTAAAGTAGAGGGTGAGACACCAAAAAGGAAGACCCTTAGCGAGATGGACTGACACAGTGGCTGCTACAACGGGCTTGAACACAGCAACAACTGTGAGGATGAAGCAGGACCACACAGTGTTTCATTCTATTGTACGCTATGAGTCAGAATGGACTTGATGGCACCTAGCAATAACAATAAGGAGCTCTGGTAGCATAGTGGTTACGAGTCGGGCTATTATTAACCTCAAGGTCAGCAGTTTGAAACTACTAGTTCTGTGGGAGAAAAATGAGGCTTTCTGCTCCTGTAAAGATTTACAGCTTCAGAAACGCTATACAGGGTCACTATGAGTTGGAACCGACTCCACGGCACATAACCACCACCACCACCACCACCAATAACAGTTACATTTTTTTTTTTTTTGCAAGTTGACAGCTTTCCTAGGACTACAAGGATCACTTATATGGGGAAGTTGTTGTTTTTATGTGCCATGGAGTTGGTTCTGACCCATAGCAACCTTGTACAGGGTTTCTGAGGCAATAAATCTTCATGGAAGCAGAAAGCTTCATCTTTCTCCTGTGGAACAGCTGGTAGTTTTGAACTGCTGACCCTAAGGTTAGCAGCCCGATTTGTAATCACTACGCTACCAGAGCTCCTACTATGCGGAAGATTACCTTTTAATGTCTATTCTGAAAATCCAGCTCTTAGTCCATGTCCCCTGGGAAGCATACTTGATCCCAAATATAGAAACACTGCCTTCAGAGACAATTCCCTGCAATCATAGATGCTAAAAACAATTTCCATCTTTCTAAAGAGAACAGAACCTACACAGTCTGGGAATACAATACAAGATTATTCATTTAATAGAATTTGTTCTACTACAGCCCAGGCAAGGATCATTAGTCCCACCCATCCTCTGGGATATGGAAATAGCTTGGGTATAAAGGATGGGCTGTTGTTACAGAATCCAATGCAATGGGGCACTTCCAGCAGTCAACACTAACGACCACATTCTATACAGGGTCAGATCAAGCACCGACAATGACAAGATACAGAGAATGATATTTAAAGCCAATCAAGAGAGAAATAAAACCCACAGCTGGGTCTCAGAAATTACTTCTTTGAAGCCATAAAAGCTAAGTAATCCCCATGGAGGGTAGAAAGCAGCTCTTTCTAGGGCCCTTGTGAGCAGCTCCCAGTTCATCTGTCAGCCAAATTCCTGCAAACAAAGATAAAATACTCTTGAGCTGTTCTCACTGTGTTGGGTCCCAGAAAGTCTCCTCAGGATTCCTCAGAACAAAGGTGTCCGTCATGGAAAAGCAGGTCTATCTCCTGGCACCAGAGGAGAGACTATGTGTGTACTGACTCAGAGATGACCCTTAGTAAAATTACATAAAAAATTGTTCAAGCAGTAGTACCACTGGGTTTGCCTCTCCTGACCACTGGACAGGAACTAGGGTGGTGATACAGGGCAGTGAGGGAGCATCATTATGGATTATATTATGGGAATTTTCCCTGAGGATTCAAGATCTTCAGAGGAGTCATTAGGGAAATGCAAACCAAAGCCACACCCACTAAACCAAAACCACACCCACTTCCATCCAGTTGATTCCAACTCACAGTGATCTAGAGGATTGAGCAGAACTGTCCCCACGGGCAGAGTTGCATGGAATCAACAAGGGATAGTTCACATATGTCTCATCACACCTATTTGCAACAAGAATGTGTGCCTTCCTGGAGGCATCTGGGGAAGGGATAGGGATTGGAGTTAGAGACTTGGAGTTCAAATCCTATTCCTCCTTATCATGTGTTCTTAGGAAAGCCACTAACTCTGGGTCTCAATTCCTCATCTAATCTGATCGTGAAAAACAGATCATTTATTTTTCAAATGCTATAGTACAGTGCCTGGCAACTGATAGGACACCAATACATGCACACTGCTGTTGTTACAATGCGCACACACTTTTGCTAGACATATCTTTACAGAGAGGAAACAATGTGGAGAGAACAGAAATGTGTTCCAAGATGTGGCTCCTCTAGTCCTGGTAAGCTTCCTGGCCTACTCTGACTGCATGAAAAGGAGTGAGAAAGGGAGTGGGTACCCATCTCCCTCAAGCTTGAACCCTGGCATGGACATTCAGGAAGACAGCAGTCTCTCAGGTCCAACAGTCAGGGCCTTGGCTGCCGCCCATAGCCACCACTGGCTGAGGTTAGAGGAGTTGGGCAAGTCCACATCTGATCATAATCATAGGCGCTTTGCTAGGAAGGCTGTTAGATCATGGTTTTGTTATTCCTGCTTTACTTATGTTGGGCTCTAAAATTCCTGCTGGGGAGCTGCAGGATGAGCACTAGAAACCTAACCACAAGTTTGGCAGTTCAAACCCACCAGCTGTTACTTGGAAACCCTGTACAGGTTTCTTATCAGTCAGAACTGACTCAACAGCATTTAACAATCACAAAATTCAAATGATCAGTTCTATTTCAGCTTTCTGTATTCTAACAAAATTGCTTTATTGATAGCTGAATCACACACATTTAGAGCCAAAGGACTCTTGTGCTAAGTGTCATTGAGCTGGTTCTGACCCATGGTGACCCTGTATAGGGTTTCCAAGCAACAGTTGGTGAGCTTGAACCACCGACCTCGGATTTCAAATTGACTTTGAAGTCCAGTGCATTAACCCACAGCACCACACCAGTACTCTTAAAGCTCAACTAATAGTTCCCCTCATTCTACAGGTGGAAGTGTGGAGCCCAGAGGTTCTTCAGGACATACTGACAAACTTACTCGGTTAGTAAGTGCCAAAGGTGAGACTAGAAGAAATCTCTCAACTCATGGGTCAGGGATATTTTCACTCTCCTGGGAGAAAGAAGGTCACATGAATAAACCTAAGATGGGCAGCCAACAGAAATCTGTACCTTTCTGTCTCTCTTCATCAATATAAACCTGACTGCAGGGCCCATGGGCAGCAGAGTAGCCACTAAGTTCTCTGTGAAGGTGGGGCGCAGAATTCACCCTAAACCAATGAGTCTGCATCCAAGAGGTACCCGCTATGGGCAGCAGAGTAGCCACTAAGTTCTCTGTGAAGGTGGGGCGCAGAATTCACCCTAAACCAATGAGTCTGCATCCAAGAGGTACCCGTATTCTGGAGGGAAGACATATACGGTGTACAAAAACATTTAATATACATTTGACTGGAAAGCAAAAAGTTTTATCAAATTGGATTTGGACTCACCCTAACCCATATGACTTACTGTGCTCTTAACTGATAATATCTTCAAAGACCCTATTTCCAAACAAGGTCATATTCACAGGTACTTGAGATTAAGACTTCACCACCTCTTTTTGGGGAGACACTATTCAATCCAGATACTACTGTAGTTAGGTGCCTTCGGTTCGGTTCTGACTCATAGCAATCACATACATAGCAGAGTGAAACACTGCTCGGTCCTACGCCAATCTCACAATCGTTGTTACGTTTAAGTCCACTGCTGTTGCCACTGTGCCAATCAATCTCATTGGAGTCTTCCTCTTTTTCATTGACTCTCCATTTTACCAAGCATGATGTCCTTCTCCAGGTACAGGTCCCTCCTGATAAATTGTCAGAAGTATGAGAGATGAAGTCTCTCCATCCTGGCTTCTAAGGAGAATTCTGGCTGTACTTCTTCCAACACAGATTTGTTTGTTCTTCTGACAGTCCATGGTACTTTGAATATTCTTCTCCAACACCATAACTCAAATGCATCAATTCTTCTATGGTCCTTAATTTAAGTTTTGTTGGAAACTACAAAAAATTGCTCTAATCATCTTGAATGTTAACAATGAGGAGATAGAATGTCCATGATTAATGGGGTTAAGGATGGAGTAGTTATTAAAGGGACCATGGGTTTGAACAGGTCCAACAACACAGCTTAAAGCTATTTTCATTTCTCTGTCTCCTCCTCCAAACTCCCCCATCTCTTTTGTGAGTGATGGGGCAGGTTGGAGGTGTTGCCTTATAGATTCAGAAAGTGGTCATGGATGGACCAAAGGGAAGGCAGGTGGGTCACCTTGAGATCTAGTTCTGCTGGGCACCAAGTACTAGCCAACAGATCCAACTAGCTCCACACATGACAATGAAAATCAGTTTCTTCTGCTTACCAACAGCAATAACCAATCCAACAAATAAAGCTACATATGTGAGTGGGCAGGGGTTAAGTCCCAGGAGAATCCCCAAAACAAGACCATGTGTGGAGCTTTTTATTAAGATTTGTCATTAAAGAGGCAGGGGAAGGCATGGATGTGTGAGGAACAGATGAAAAAAGATTGTTCAGGACACATACTCTACCTTTAAGAGTGGATGTGTTATTTAATGCAAACCTTTCCTTAAAGGTAATGTTGTTGTTCTTAAGTGCCATCTTGTTTGTTCCAACTCACAGTGACCCTATATAGGGCTTTCAAGGCTTTAAATCTTTGCAGGAACAGAAAGTCTCGTCTTTCTCCCACAGAGCGGCTGGTGGGCTCGTACCACAGAGCTTGTGATTCATAGGGAGCCGCATATGACTTATTACATGGAGCCACTGTGTCCCCTAAAGTTATTAGGAAGGAGGAAATATCTGCAAGTTGAAAAATAGCATACCTTGCAAAGAAAACATGGTTTTGTAAATGTTACATAATCTGCTGCCTTAAAAAATGTTGCTGGGTTAGCACTGTCTTTCTCTTGGGCATACATTCTCTCTCTCTCTCTCTCTCTCTCTCTCTCTCTTTTAAATAATAAACACTTTCTTTGGGTTTGCCTTCTTAGCAGGTGAAATAATCTTCACATATCCATGGCTCTGCAGGGAGGAAAGAAATGCAGTTTTCTGCAATATAAAAGAGGTCTTGAGCAGGCTTCATCAAGCAAGGGTTTGTGTCCATCAAATAGTATTTTAGGCAGCAGTACACTATTGCTTATTTGGAGCTGCCAGTGAGGGAGAAAACAGGGAAAGTATGAGCCTTCCATGCCTTGCAGGATCTTTCTCCTTCCTCCAACTGTTCTGTCCCTTTGAGGGTTGGCTATGGTTCCTCCTACAAACATCTGTCTTCTCCCTCTTGTTCCTAACCCTTGCTTTTCCAATTTTCAGAGCTACTGTCTGGCTTTTAAAAAACAAACCAAAAAATAAATAAAAACTTTCTTGTGGTTTCATAAAGCTCAGCTGGAAAATGTCAACGTAAAAAAAAGACAAATCCACCACAACACCCTTCCACTTCCATCCGCCCACACTGTCAGGACATGCCTGGGCTCCACCAGTGTTAGTGTGGGTGTGGGACTCATGCCAGAGGAGAGAGAAAAGCGCATGCCTAGCGGTCTTGTTTTATTGTGGGTTTTTAGGACAGTGCAGAAAGGCCTGGCATTTTTAACTATGTGAGTCTGGATTGAATAGTGTTCCCCCCAAAAGAAATGTTGAATTCCTAGTCCCCAGTATCTGTGAATGTGTTCAGAAGTAAGGTCTTTGAACATGCTATTAGATACCATGAGGTCACACTGGCATAGAATGGGTCCTAGTACAATCTTATAAAAGAGGAGAAAAGACACAAAGAGACAGGCAGAAAGAAGATGCATCTACAAGCCAAGGAAAATCAAGAAGCCTGGGACTATCAGAAGTGAAAGAGACAAGATGGTCCCCTTGATACTCTGAATTAGGACTCTTAGCCTCCAGAACACTGAGATAACCAATTTCTCTGCTTATAGACCAACCAGCTTGTGGTATCTTGTTACAGCAGCCTCAAGAAACGAATACCTGAGCAACAATTCACATGGACAAGCCCCAGACATCCACAAGTTAATGCTGTAACTAAGATGGGACATTACTTATTTTGAATTGTTTATCTAATATTCATGTTCAATGTGATGCCTTTTTAAAATTAAAGCTGAGCTCTGGTGTGGCACTGTAAGATAAGCACTAGATTCCTAACTGAAAAGTCAGCAGTTCAAACTCACCAGCCGTTCTTGGGAAACCTGTACAGGGTTGCTATGACTTGGAATTGAGTCAATGGCACACAACAATCCACCTCTCACTTCCGGTCCTGTGGAAATAACTCCCTAACTTGTAAGACATGACCAAAGAAAAGATGCCAATCCTATCATCAAATGGCAGGCATTTTTGTTGTGTTTTTGCTTTATAATTTTATTGTGGTAAAATATATGTAACAAAATATTTGCTGCTTTAACCATTTTAAGTGTGTAATGTACTGATATTAATTACACTCACCATGTTGGGCAACTATCACTACTGTCCATTTCCAAAAACTCTTCATGAACCCAAACAGAAACTTAGCTATTACCCCTTAAGCAACTACATCCTATTTCTCCCTCCCCTCAATTGTTGGTGGCTACTAATAAACTTGTGGTTATGAATTGGGCTGCTAACTGCAAGGTCAGCAGTTTGAAACTACCAGCCATTTCATGGGAGAAAGATGAGGCTTTCTGCTCCTGTAAAGATTTACAGCCTTGGGAACCCTGCGCAGGGTCACTATGAGTCAGAACCGACTCCACAGTACTTAACAACAACTAATAAACCTTGGTCTCTATTTATTTAAAGATTCTAGATATTTCATGTAAGTGGGATCATACACATATACAATTGTGTCTCATGTATTTCATTCAGAATAATATTTTCAAAGCTGATCCACATCATCCCAAAAAATGAAAATCACTGCCATTGAGTTTATTCCAACTCCTAAGACTGAGTAGAATGACTCTACAGGGTTCCGGAGACTGTACATCTTTACAGAAGTAGACTGCCTCATTTTACTCCCACAGAGTGGCTGGTAGGTTCGAACCACTGACCGTATGGCTAGCAGACCAACACTTAACCCACTGCATCAACAGGACTCCTATCCACATCATTGTTGTGTTTGTTGTTGATAAGTGATGTCAAGTTGGGTCCAGCCCATAGCGATCCTGTTTAAGGTTTCCAAGGAGCGGCTGGTGAGTTTGAACCGCCGACCTTGTGATTGAGTGCTTATCCTACAGCGTCACACCAGAACTCCATCGTTGTTGTTGTTAAGTGCTGTCACGTCGATTCTGACCCATAGCAATCCTGTATAGGGTTTCCAAGGAGCAGCTGGTGAGCTTGAACCACTGACCTTGTAGTTCAAACAACTTTGCAGTCTGATGCATTAGCTTACAGCGCTACACCAGGACTCCATCATAACATGCATCAGAACTTCACTTCTCTTTATGGATGCATAATACTCCACTATGAATACACTACATTTTGTTTATCCATTCATCTGTTTGTTGACGGACACTGGGTTATTTCTACCTTTGAGCTGTTGTGAATAAGGTTGCAATGAATGCTAGTGTACAGCATGTAGTTTTTAAATGCAAACTAACCTGAGATCATGAAGAACAGAAAGAAAATCAAAGGAGATTACCTGTTATCACCCAGTAGTCTCTAGTTGTTTCTGATATATCAAGATTAGGGTATTCCAGAGCTAAAACAAACAAGAAACACATCAAATGGCTTTTACAGGTATGTGAATACTCTCAAGGAAAATCAACACAAGAAAAAGTATCAAGCAGCTAAATCTGTTTTATAATTCTTGGGAACTTTAGGATATATATGCAAAAATAGCTTGCTGTATAGAAAAAAAAAAAACCACCCCAAAACTTTAGTAAAAGTCAAACTTTCAGATGAATAGTATTCTAGGGTTTATCACCAACCCAAGCCCACAGCCTTCAATTTGATTTTAACTCATGGTAACCCTATAGGATAGAGTAGAATAAGGTTTCCAAGGCTGTAAATCTTTATTTACTGAAGCAGACTGTCTCATTTTTCTCCCACTCAGTGGTTGGTGTGTTCTAACTGCTGATCAGCCCAACACTTAACCTACCGTGCCACCAGAACTCCCTCTAGGGTTTGTAGGGTCTGTTATTTCCGTTTTTCTATCAAACTCCCTTAAACTGAATGATTTCATTACCAAAACCCACAGCTTGAACCTACTTTATCTGTAGCTCTATTTTTTAAATTACTCAACTACCATGAACATTTTTAGGAATGTTTATCTCTTATATGAATTTTCCTAATGCCAAGAATTGAGTTCAGTAGCCAAATAATAAATTGTTGTTGTTGTTGTTGTTAAGTACCGTGGAGTCGGTTCCGACTCATAGTAACCCTGTACAGGGTTTCTGAGGCTGTAAATCTTTACGGGAGCAGAACGCCTCATCTTTCTCCAGCAGAACCGCTGGTAGTTTCGAACTGCTGACCTTGTGGTTCGCAGCCCGATTCGTAACCACTATACTACCAGAGCTCCTTAAATAATAAATAACCCCATATATACATATATAGCAAGAAAAATTCTAAGAGGAGACTATGTACTAATAAGTACACTAACACATATTATCTCATTTATAGTATCCAAAACAGCCATTAAAAGGAAATGATGGGATGATTTTGCTAATATGCATTAAAAATAAACGTATCCAATGACCTTGAATAAAGTCCCAACAATGAAATTGAAGAGCACAAACCTTTTCATCTTTGGCTACCAAGTAAGAGTTTGAGTGCAAAATGTAGGTTGCATCATCTTGGAAGCCTATGCCTGCTGCACGGTAATAAGATTTATGTAACTGAAGCAGTAGAGGAAGACAAGGCCATAAGACTATGGGGACTTCATCAAGGGAAGTCACGACACAAATTGCAAATGAGCGGCATTATATCTATAGCCAGAACAGGGGCTAAAGGCCCATGAACATTTGCTGACTGCAGAAGTGGGGGGAAAACTGTAGCAAACCAGTTTCCACAAAGATAGAGGTGCTACCAGGTGGCACTGTGAGATCTGAAGGCAACTTCTTGGGTTCAAACCTCAGGTTCCACCTCTTACAAATTATGTGAGAGTTGGTGTCTTGGTGCTTTAGTTTTCTCTTCTGAAAAATAGGGCTGATTTTGCACTGATAGGGTGATTGTGAGGATTAAATGAAGTAATAGATATATGAAGGGTAAAGGCATATACTGAGCGCTTAAGAAATGCTACCTTATGTTTTCAATGTGCAATGAATTTTTATCAATTCAACCTGAAGTCACCATAAATCCCAGTTGTATTATGACAACAGAGGTGGTATGTGGCTTAGCACACAGAAGACTTTCAACAGATGTTTGCCAAGTAGAGACAGACCCCACTGCTGTTGAATGCATTGTGACTCATGACGACCCCATGCGTTACAGAGTAGACCTGAGCTACGTTAAAGTTTTCTTGGCTATAATCTTTATGGAAGAAGATGTCTTGCCTTTCATTCAAGGTGCCCCTGGGTGGTACAGAACCACCAACCTTCTGATTATAGCCAAGCACTTAACCATTTGTGCCATCCTGGGACTCCTCAAATGGAGTCAGACCCCAGGAAAACAAGAATCCCTGTAGAATGTGGACGTACTCACGTTCAGCAATGGTGAGCGGTGGGTAGGTGAGGTAGAATCCCACCAGCTCAGCTGACAGCTGGCTGAGGAGGCTGCTGGCCACAGTGCCGTTGAGGAATGTGCTCTCATTGCCCACCACGTACACCAAGGTGACTGTCTGGGAGGCGTTGGACGTGCTCACAATCTGAATCGACACAGGAGGAAAGGGGAGGGAGACATGCTATATAAGATGAGGGTCTGTTCCATGAAGGCCATGGGGGGAGAAATTTAAGCAGATATCGAGGGTAGGAATGAAAGGGAGGTAGGAAAAGAGCAAGGAAGAGACAAGAATAACAATGGTCATCATTTACTAGTGCCAGGCTTTGTATGAAGGGCACATTTACTCCTCACCACAACCCGAGGACGTGTATATAAGTTATAACTCCTTTTTACAGATGAGGAAACTAAGGCCCAGACTGCTCAAGGGACCTACCCAAGGTCACATAATTAACAATTAATATGCTACAGGGTCAGGATTCAAACCCAGGAGTCTGACTTCTGAGCTTGTAACCACTGACAGCTATCTTTTCTAGGGGCTCAGTTGTCTCAGGTTATTTTTAAGATTTTAAACGTGTTTATGAGTACTGTCGAGTTGGATCCAACTCATAGTGACCCTTTATAGGGTTTCCAAGGAGCAGCTCATGCGTTTCAACTGTAGACCTTGTTGTTCAAAATCCAGTGCTGATTCTATAGCACCATACCAGGAACCTGAAATATGCTTCTTCTTGTTGTTAAGTGCTTTCAAGTCGATTTTGACCCTTAGTGACCCTGTATAGGGTTCCCAAGGAGCAGCTGATGAGCTTGAACCACCAACCTTGCAGTTCAAATGGCTTTGCAGTCTGCTGCATTAACCCACAGCGCCACACTTGTTGTTGTTGTTATGTGCTGTGGAGTCGGAACCGACCCATAGCGACCCTGTACAGGGTTTCCGAGGGTGTAAATCTTTACGGGAGTAGAAAGCCTCATCTTTCTCCCGC